GCTCTCCATATGGCAGCTTGCTACGGGCAGTTGGCTGTGACTGAATATTTGGCCAAGCACTGGCCAGAACTGGTGCACACCAGGCCTGAAGTTGATTCGCTGCATGTCGAAGTAGCGGGAGGGGGAACATGTGAGACTTTCGGCCATTCTAGTCCAACTCTCTCCCTGCTTGGTAGGAAAGGGCATCGCTACTAGTAACAAGTGCATCGCTACTAGTAGCAAAAAGCTACCAATTACCAAGGGCACCGCTAATTAATTACTAGTAAACCTTTGTTTCCAACATGTTGGAGGGGGAATTATGGGAACCCGCAGGGGCTGAATGTGCTGATGCTCCGCGTTTTTTGGATGTGAAGTCGGAGCAGGCAAATATTGTTTGGGGGGTGTACGGTGTAGTGTAATGATGCCCGAACTGTGCTTCGTGGACTGAGCTGCCCATGGCAGGAGCAGCCCGCAGATGCCTGGCAGGTGTCGCTTTGTTGCAGGGGCATAAGCTGGGGACACTTTGCTACTGAATCGGCGTCATTTGTACTGGACCTGACTTACATTTTCACAGCCTTAAAGATGGGCGCTCTTCAACCTAGGTGAATGTTGGCCGCTCTTGCTATGTGACGGCGGCTGCAAGACTCCCAGGTCTTGCTTTTCGTTTCCATCACTTCCATCATCACTGTGATAGCTCTTGACATGGGCTGAAACTACCGAACTGCCTCAGAACTGACTCCGGGTCTTGTATGCCAAGGTAGGGCTAGTGGCTTCCTGCCATTGCATGTTGCAGCCCAAAAGGGGCACTTGGCAGCGTGCTAAGTCTGCTAAGTGTGGTGCTGATGCTGATGTGATAGTCCATGAGCCCATCAATATTCTACCGAAAGCGGCGACTGCCCAGGATGTAGTGATGTTCTTGGCAGCCAAGTGGCCGGAGCGGGTGCCCAATCAGGTTAAGTTTAGTATCCCTGAATGTGCAACACATTGCGCCACGTTGAAAAAGATCCAATCAAAGATCTCCAATGTAGACTCTTGATTAATAAGCCCCTCAGATGAAGAGGACTTCCAATTCCGTATCCCGCTGTCGTCGCCTGGAGCGAGAGCGAAAGCGATCGTCAGGAGACTCTGCACGAGCGAAGCCACAGCCAGTGGACAGCCGTTCATTGCGCAGCACGCGAGGGTCACTTGAAGGTCATGGAGTTCTTGCTTCAGCAGGCGAGTGGCGAGCTGACAGGGTTTGATAGGATTTGTGGCTGCAGGGATCTTCGGTACCAGATGAAATGGTGGACTGAAGTGCCTCAAGGCACACGTTGTCAGTCACAATGACATGGGGCAAGGCTTGTACCCATCACATGCATTCACATGCCACCTTCTTGCAGCCTCTCACGCGAAAGCGGACTCTACAACGCGAGTTGTGTCGCCATGGTCACCTGTACTTACACACATGTGCACACGAGTGTGCACACGTTTTGGTTTGACAGCGCCAGGTGCCACAGCACATTACTTCTCTCACTGAGCAGAGACAGACGGCCTTGCACCTGGCGGCTGCGAGGCAGGTCATTACCCGCTGACTCACTGACACAGAAGTGGAAACTGACCCCATCTGACCCCTGGGAAGACTATTTTCCTTTAGGGACAGGGTGGTTTCCACTCCCATGTTAGTGAGTCGGAGTGTACAGGACAAAAAACGGACACCGAGGGCATTTTGCTTGAGTGAACCAGCTTCACACGAGAGAGAGAGAGAGAGTGAGACAGATCAAGAGGTCAAAATCTGTTTGCACCCGGAGGGGTCACTTCTCAGTGGTGGATTGTTTGCTGTGACTCGGATGAAAGACATGCTGCTGTGTCATTTGGTACGTGTTCATGTCTTGGATTACGAAGTTTTGCAGGTGTTCAGGTTGGCTTGTTGGCATGACCTTGATGAAAATAGCAGGCTTAGATGTTGAATTGACATGACTGAATCAATAGACCGGAATTACATAATGCAGGCTGCGATGGTGCAATAGTTTTGCGGATGAGAGAAGGGGTAGCTAAGATTGACTGTAGGCTATGCTGGACTCATTCATTCGTTCAGGTTTTTGGTGAACTTGAGGCCTTTGTTCCCGGCAAAGTACTTGGAGCAACGGGATGAAGAGGGCTACACCGCATTGCAGAAGGCCTTGAAGCACTTGGAGATAATGGCCGGATAAATCGGATCTCTCTCTCTCTCTCTCGCTCTCTCTGCTAGTTCTGTCTTTTTGTTGAAGCCTTCGCTCAGACCCCAGCTGAGCGCACACAGCAAGAGCACAGACCGAGCCTGGCACTCCAGGCTCGTGGTCGCGTGGCGGACCTGCTGCAAGAATGGCGCCAAACTGCCAGGGGTCCCCAGCCGTCGCTGGTGTCGCACTTGGCCGTTGGGTGCGGGTCTGCAGATTGACCTTTCATGGTGGACACGTCTGAGGCAACAGACAAAATGTCAGCAAGTCATGTAACGTCAAAATGTAGGCACAGTGATATGTCCTCTCCACCCACCGTTTTGCGTTCCGTGTGTTGAACGACGGTCAGATGTATTTGCGCCAGGCGATCATCTTCCAAGTGGTCGTTGCTCGTGTTGCTCAAGCCAAGGCGCATGCTCGTTGCTCGTGTATGCCAGGGTTCGGGCTGCAGGTTGGCCCCAATGAGTCTCACCTGGACACAGTTTGTACATTGCATTGCTATCTGGAGGTGTTCGGGTCATGGGACATCGCCATCGCTTGTTTTCGGTGAGGATTGGCTTTGGCGTCTTGGCTGCCCACGGCGGGCAAAGATAGAGCTGAAGGCATTAACTGTGGCGGGCCAGGAGAAGGCACAGGCGCATGGGATTTCTCAGGGTCGATGATGATTCTGAAGACAGCGCATGAAGCCAGCACTGAAGTGTTGCAGGTGAGAGTGCGACCACAACGATGGAATGCTTGGAGCCTGATGAGCAAGATTAGCCAGCTTGTTGAGGTGCGCCCAAGAAGCCTTGGCGCGGCTTGCTGTGCGGCCTGCAGTTCTTTTTGCTGCTAATTACTAAAGTGCTGGTATCGACTGAGGTGCCAGATCATCGGCTTGTGCTTCTCTTCCCGAATGGCTGGTTCCTCAAAGCGTGTGGACATAGTCTCATATGTTGTATCACGATCCGCAGTGATTCCCCTTGTCAAGCCTGCTGTTGCGACTTCCGACCCAGGTGAGTACTTGAGCATGAAAACCGAGAGCAAAATGCAGAAGGCAGGACAGCTTTTGTTTCATTTTAATTTTTCGCTGCAGGAGCTGAAGGAGGCCCACAGAGGAACAGACTTTCTGGAACTCAGCCACTAGTGAAGTGTGTCAAAACGCAAACACGGGGCCCTGGCAGCAGTTCAGGTTCCCTCAGTGTTCCAGCTGGTTGCCAGGGTTGCTGCTTGAGACATGCATATATATATATATATCACCCTTCCCACATTTGCACCCGTTTGATAATGGTTGTCATTTGGACTTGACTGCTAAGCGCTCCTTGCAGATCCTTGCGGAGGCCAAGCTTGCTGAAAAGCTTGAGGCAGTGAAGACATCGGTGAGTTAGAGCAAGCACGATGGCCACCGGAATCTGCAGACATCTGATCAATAGCTGTCAGGGTGGGATTGCACGAGGCGGTCTTTGTGATTTATTACGACCCAAAAACATCTTTGACACGAAAGCCCAGTGCTTCCATTTGCTTCGCTACATGAGATTCCGCCTCTCGGAGTCTCGGAGTGCTTTCCTTTCAGACGTCGGCGGTCAATCGTGGGATGTGTACGCGCCTCGGGCGATGAAAAGAACGATGGCCATCAAGCATTTCAATGTATATAGTTGCCATTCTCATTCAGCGTTGTGCTGAGGGGACTTTGTCAAGTGTCTCTGCCCGAGTGTAGAACCATGTAGAAATGTTGACTCCTTATGACGGCCAATTTGTGTGTTTTTGGCCGGGGTGATCGCCAGACTGCGGCAGTCCAGAAGAAGCTGGTCCACCGGGAACGGGAGGACCCAGCTCCTCGCATGTTTGTCCACGTCCAACGCCACTCCTCCGAAGCAGAAGACTTTCAGCTTAGCTGCCAGAGAGCTGGCATGCCGGCTCCAGAGAGCTGCATGCCGGCTGCATGCCAGCTGCTGTTATCTTGTCTCTGTCTCTCGTGTTTGGCATGCAAGCTGTGTGTGTGCGTGTTTTCCTGTCTAATGAGTCTAAAGTTTGCCAGGCTCTTCCTTTGGCGGTTAAAGGTTACGGGGGGTTGTAATACGTTGGTCGCAAAGTGGCCAAGTGCAAGACGAGCCTTTATGCGTGTGCATATTGACTCAACCACGCTGCAGTATAGCAAAACGGCCTACTACACAATCTTGTTTAGACATTGCTTGCTTTGGTGCCACTGCCACTAGTGAGAGACCCTCAACAATATTGTTGATATTCTGTCACAGTGCTCCCGGAGCGTGGCCTTCTGAACTGTCGCAGAACTTTTTTTTGGCCAGTTTTGCTGTGAGTTTCCTCGCGTGTGGAAGACCCCTCAGAGTTTTCGCTGAAAAGGATAGGTCATTGAAGCATCTTCTTGGGCGCGGCTGCATTGTTTTTTGGGGCTTCCCTCTCATCTCCTCGGATCCTCGCCGTGCCAACCTTGCTGGCAATTTTCCAGCTCTGGAGCGACCTTAATGTACTTTCGGCCACTCAGACTATGCAGGCAAAAAGAAGTTAGGCTTATGGCTTGTCTTGACTTAGCAGATAGACCTAGCAAAACGGCCTGCTTACCATCAGCGCTAGGGCCGCTAGGGGACCACCCAAAGCATTTTCACAGAGACTGAGCACAGCAGCCCTGAGTATATAGTCTGGTGGCCTGCAGGCAAAATTAGCGAGTAGGTTTGGACCAGGCGTCGAGACAGGTGGCTGGTTGGTGAAAAGAAAGGCAGTGCTGCTTCGAAAGGGCCTGTCATTGGGATACAGATGCATCTCATTTGGGAGTCCAAACCAGAACCCTTCCACCTTCTGGTACTTTATAAGTGACTTTGAAACCGCAGCCAGGCACTTCTCCAGAACACCTCGCTGCGCGAAAAGGCCTCTCAGCAAGGCGGGTGTCCCACCGGCCCACCGGCCACAGATTTCAATGGAAGAGTTCCTGTTTCGTTCGTTGGACGAACGCCTGAGGTGCCTCAAAGCATGCCATGTTTGGCAGAACACGGTTCCTGTTTGCCGCTGTGGGTCGATAACAGATGTCCCAGCTCCTTGTCCACCAAGTGCTGAAGTGCAACCTAGACTAGACTTACCGCATGAGAATTGGCCACTTCGATACCGATGGTGATCCACTTGGCTGAACCCAAGCAGACTACTACCAAGTGCCAGCCCATAAGATCCCAATATTCCATCGTAATCCTACAAGGCTTTCTTATCCCGAACTCCTGCAGGTTTTTCACGAGCTAAGCCGCACCAGCAGAGCATAGCGGAGCTAAAGCCACCTGATTCACCCCCACGGCCCGTTCCCGAAGTCCTGACGTCTTTGGGGCGGTTCACCTCGGCGCCCCGAAGCACAGCCATGTCCGGAGCTGTGCGTTTGGAGCAGCTCCGCCTTTTTTCTGGCGGAAAACGTTGAGTCGATCGAAATGTGCGCCTAAATCTTGAACTTTGGACTTGGTTTAGTCTAGTTTGTTAAAGTGTTGGCCGGCCTATGCCTGCCTTTTGGTCGACTAGCTTCAACTCATTTTTTCACTTGCAGGGTCGCAGATCAAAATGCAGCCAAGGATCCAAAATGGATGCCGCAGATGGTGTCCAAGGGAACCATGAGGCAGGGCACTTGTGAAAGCCCAGCTTTGGTCCGTGACGGCATGTTTTTCGACACGGTCGGGTTTGGTCCTCGGGGTCTGCTAGAGTGGTGAGAGTCTGCCCAGGCCAAAGCGCCTTTGCTCTTTGATGAGCCCTGGAAGACGGTGGGGAGGTGGGGAGACACGGCAGGTGAGCGAAAACGAAAGCCAAACGCTACGAGAAGTGGTCTTGTTCGGCCAATTTCAGGCAGGAAAGCCACGGACAAACTTTAGGTACTTTAGGTTCGACAAAGGCTTGGGAATCCAATGGCATCTTATATCTAAACGCAGCTCCTGTTGGCGGACTTTGGCACCAGTTTGTGTGGCAGGAGCCAGAAACTTCGCTCGCTGTCGATGCCAGGACTCGCCCTTTGGCTTGAAGGTTTGCCTAGTGGTTTGCCTATATCGTACACTCCAACGCTATTTGGCCCTGCCAAGCGCCGTGAGCCATCAGCCAAGGTGGCCATTATCTACTATTCGGTGGCTGGAGGGCCGTTCGGCACAGAAGATGTCATATCTGCAGCAGGTTCGGGGCACCAACGTCTGGCACGGGAATCATGAGCACCATTCGCATGCACTGGGTGTCTGTGTGGTAACCTGTTGCTTCATGTTGCTTCTACCAGTGCAGGTCCTTTGGTGGGTTTGCTGGGGTTCCTTCTAATGCCCGCGGTGTGGTCCGTGCCGGAAGCGCTGGTGGCCGCGGAGTTGTCCACCGCCTTCCCATCCAATGGTGGCTATGTGACCTGGGTGACGGTGCATTGGCCCAATTGGCCTCAGATGGTGACAGCTTGGATGTCTGAGATTTTCTGAATGAAACCAGCCACTAAGTAGTTACAGTAATCGTTTAGATGTTTTTAGTTCTGAGTTCTTCCAGGTTCTCCGGTTCTTCCTGCTCCACTGTTTCTCAATGTTTCTCATGTGTAGCCCACTTCGCGCCAATCTCAATTCTGACATTCCGGTAAGCGAGCCAAGGCAGCTTTTGGCCCATTTTGGGGCTTTCTCGTCTCTTGAATGCACCAGAGGCACAGACGAAGACCAGCACCGCAGGGAATGATAAACCCAGCATCAGTGGCCTCACGTAGGCGACGTGTCGGTGGTGCTGTCAGAGTTCGCCGACTCCACGGTCTCAGTTTTCACATGTTTTCACTGTCCACTTCATTTATTTTCATGTTCATTACTGGAGATCATTGGCTACCATCATAAGAGTCACATATATATATATAGTCCATTGCCGCAATATTCAAACCTCTATTTGCACAGCGCAGAACAACACAAATATAAGCAAATACAAATAACATGCTTTGTTTGCTTGGGCTGACCACCGCTTGGGGTGATCAACTGCAATGGAAAGCAGTCTGGAAATGGCAAGAAAAGACTAAGAGGCTCAGAGTTTAAGCAGTAGAGTGAGCATTCGTCTCGGGAGACCTTTCCAAGCAAACATCAGGAAGGCTTCCTCTCATGGACCTCTGGCGTGAGCGACAACTCCATTTATCCCGATGCTCAGTTAAGGATTGTGGGAGGGTCAGGAAAGCTTTGTGGATTGGTGATTTTGGTCGAGTCGGCGTAGTCAGTCAATTTGCCGCTTTTTTGTGGAGGGGCTTTTTTGCCCGGTGACTGAGGTTCTTTTCTGTGACTATCTCCAGCACGTACTTCCATCAACGGCAGGGGGCTGGCCTCGTGTCCCGGCCAGGAAGAAAAAGGTTGTCATGAATGTAGCCTTATGAGATGTTTCTGGCCACAGACTGGGTCAGCTCCAGTTGAATTGTTTCGCGTTTTTTTTCTCTCAGTTTTTTGTAGATTCTGATTTCCTATCGTTTTTGCAGTACTTTTTTTGTGCAGTTCCTTTGGCGTTCTGTTTTCATGTTTTTTTTTAAATGTTGTTTTTCCATGTCTTTCTTTTGGTTCCCTTGCTTGCAGCGCTTGCAGCAGCGCAGAGTTCTCACACTTCTACCAGTGGGGCCAAGAGCATTGGCAAGTGCATTTAAAAATCATGAGCAGAACGTTTGGCAATGTTTTTTCTTTATGGCAGAAGCAAGGCTGGCAAACCACTGGAAAGAGCGCTCATTTGCTGGTTTTGCCAGCGTAATATTTCCATGGTGCGCAGGTGCAAAGAAGGATTATATAGTATCCCCTGTGGTGTTGACTCATCATAAAAATTCAGACTTGCAAAAGAATGGCACACTTATTGACAACCAAAACAACCAAAACAACCAAAGTTTTGAAATGGCAAGAAAATTGCAAATCTCTGTAAACCGCAAAAATTGCAGGAATAGCAAAAACATGGCAAAAACTCGAGGGATTTGCCATGTTATTGCATTTGTTTTGCCATTCCAATTTGCCATTCCCCATGCCATTCCCAAAGGGAACTCCAATTCCAAGTGTTGTTTTGGCAATCCCTCCTTTTGTCTAATCTAATCCTTCCAACCAATGCAGGTCCTGTTGTTTCCGTTGTCTGGGATGACCGGTTGCGCCAGCGTGTCCCAATGTCTCCGAAATGAGAGTTGCCTTCCCAGATGTTCTTTACACTGAAGAGCAAAGATAAAGATGATAAAGAACAAACCAAATGGATGCAAACGCGCTTTAAGGCAACCAGCAAAAACACAAAGGACATACTGTTGAAATCACCCACCAAAGCCACAACTCAATAACAATACAACACTTTTCCTCAGCAAAGGCAGCAGGCAGCAAAATCCACAATACCAAAAAAACAACAAAAGGCAAATGCAAGCAGCCACACAAATAACAACAAAATAACGTTAGCAAAACAAGGCAAATGCAAACAGTAAAAAAACAACAAAATAACAGCAAACAATTAAAGCATAGATTTCCAATCCCTGGCTAGCAAAAATATCATAAATGTAGCCACTCTAAGGGGGTTCTTTGCCTGCAGCAGAGGCCTGGCACCAGATGACGCAAGTTTGTATGGCAAATTAATACAAATTACCAATATCTATTTGCCACCACCGCGCAGCATAACCCAATTATTGCTGCCTACGATGCTTCAAAACCTTGAAGTGACTCCAACCATCAACCCGATTTCTGGTCACACATCTGAAGCTCAACTTCATCTCTCGAGGGGCGTTCCGCGACTATGTGTTGAGGTACTGTTTGTGTGATTACTTTCACCTTGGTGCTTTCGTGGCTGAACTACCTGGGCTTGAACATCATGGGCTGGTCACTTGGAACAGAAAGGCGGGAAACGTGACCTATACCGTGTATCCTTTATATATCTTTATATATTTCTTCCGTTTAGTAATTTAGGGCTAGACGTGGGCAATGAATGGTGCATTTTGCAGAACATTGAAGACTGTGACTCATGATGGTTCTCTACTCAGGTCAGCAGTGATGTTGGCAATCTTCACAATACTGCCTTTTGCTTACCTAGTCCCAGTGTTGCTACCCAAAGTGGAGCTGGATACTTGGCAGCAATAGGCAGACACTGCGGCCATGCATTTTTAGCCTATTTACATGACAGTGGCAGGTTCAGGGTTAGGACGGTTAGGTTAGAATCATAACATGAGAGTGGGAGGCGAACCTGCTGGTGGTGTGGCTTGGCAGCAAGTTGCTGCTCCACTCTCAGGGCATTTATATGTATATATATATATATTAGGGCGATTCTTTGCCAATTGCCTTGACTGAATCCATTGACGTCAGTGACCGCTCGACTCTCAGGCCTGAGTTTCATGAAATGGACTGGCAAAAGTATTTGATGCTTGCGATGCAGAAAGGGAAGTTGTGCACTCCTTGGCAGCCAGTCTATGTGCTTGAGGCATCTTGCGGCATGCAATTAGGTTATCATGCCACCCAATCCAAGATTGACAGAATAGATGGGCTAGCAATTCCGATGGCGGTGCTGGTGGTGGTCGTAGTAGCAGCTTAGTACGTAGCATGATTAAAGATGTGCGTCCCATGTCACTAACTAACATTTGCTCCTAGTAGCGATGCCAGGAGCCCCTAGTAGCTGTCTCATGTTGGACTGAGGAACGTACTTTTTTGGAACTTGAACTATTGGGACAGCGCCTGCACGCTGGCGGGCGAAGTGCATGAGCCCCGCAGGGTCTTCCCTCAGGCGCTCTTGCTGGCCATGGTCCTGGTGATCGCCTCATACTTCTTCCCGCTCTTTGTAGGGGTTGGTGCCTTGGCTTGGCCAAAAGAACTTCAAGTCGGATTCGTAGCTTGGTTTTTTCCTTCTTTGACTTCAACGAGGAAAGGCTGAAGGGACCATAGGGACCTTCCTTCCCGGCTCTTGGTATTGCAGCTACGATCAGCCTCT